TCCAAAGCAAGGGGCCGGGAAAAAGATGGCTTGAAATATGAGCAATCATATTAAGAGCTTCAGATACAGTAAATACTACAACAGCATAGTGGAGTGCATATATTGTGTTTAATTAAATCAACAACATAGCCCCAAGGCCTTTATAGATCGAAACGGCAAGTTCAGAACTCAGTAGGCCTACATGTGAAGCTAATTTAACCATCAACATCATTTCATTTGATTTAGGTGAAATGATCTAATCATTGACGCAGAGATGCAATCAATGACAGGAGTTGTCACTACAGAAGCTAGTAGGTGGGTTCGAAACCTGAGCTCGCCAAAGTTTTCAGGTATTGTCTTCCCCTATATCTCTCAATGTAACACCCTCTCTGGAATAAAGGCACTCTGGCCCACTAAAAAAAAAAAAAAAATGTTGATTACTTTTAACATTATACTCAAAGGGCCAGTAAATATCACCCCGGGGCCGGATTTGGCCCGCAGGCCGCACATTGAATAGCCCTAGTCTAAACCTTAAAAACCTACATTTTATGCTAACTTGATTAGATCAACAGAAGCCCTATTTTTTCACATTTATTTATAAACAAATCTAACCAGTAGATTAGAATGCCGATTTTATGCAGCATCGTTTACAGTTTTTTACACCCAAACGTTCATCCACTGCCTGCTGTAACAGTTATACAAATGCATATGGAATAAAGACAGGAGAAAATCTGCTTTATACAATCAATACATTCTGCAGCTCTGTTGTTAAAAATAAATGTAAGGTATGTTTATGGTGAGAAATCCTGGAGAGAAAAAAGAATATATAGGATAAATAGTTAATACCACAATTAAAAAAGATTCCTAGGAAATTGTTTTTTAATTTATTTCAGTTTTATACAAATATTTAAAGACAATTATATAAAATTAATTATATTTATTCATGCAATTTCCACAGCAGGAGATACAAAAACACACTCAAGGAATCCCAGATTTGCACATGCAGTGTTTCCACGCTGTCTGATGTTAATGTTAGACCCACCTGTGATGTCGCTGTTCTTCTGCTGTAGATCTGCACGGAGAGATCTGATCTCCTGCTCTCTCTCCTCCAACACTGACGCCATCCTGAGAGACACACGCAGAATTTAGAGAGGGAGCTAATACCTGAACCTTTGAACACAAGGTCACTTCTAGGAGTAACTTTGAGAGAAGAAAGATGCAGATGTGTGTGTGTCTTACTTTTCGTGCTGCAGTGTCAGAGCTTCCTGGTTCTTCCTCAGAGTGTCGCTCTGTTTGGTGAGCGAGATGTGAGCGGCCTGCAGCTCTTTCAGCAGACGCTCGCTCTCGTTAAACCTGCACAGATCTACCTGTTAGGTACTTAAAGAGACTGAACATTCCAGAAAAACAAATGAGGCTAAAACAGGGTTTCGGTTCAAACCAAATTCAATATAAGATTATAAAACCACATTGAATACAATCGAACATTCAAAGGTTTTAATGTCATATGCCCATAATAAGCTACAGTGTATAAATGGCTAATAATCTTATGTCCCGAGCTCCTCCAACATAGCAACATAAGACATAAAACTTCAAATAATATATATGACTACAATACAAAGATGATTCCAAATATATTTAAGTGAATTATTGATACTTATAACTTGTATTTTGTTAGTACTTCCCAAGTGCATAACACAGTAATTCCTAGAAATATAATGAATCTCAAACCAGATAAGTGGCTAAAAATGGATATATTGATTTCACTAATTTATAAGAAAGTATTGAAATCAATTAAAGACCTGACTTCGAAACCACACATCATTTCGATTATTTTTTACAGCTGTACTGCTCGAAAATTAACCTGAAGAAAAGCCCAGTAATAATAATAATAATTCCTTATATTTATTATAGCGCTTTTCCAGAGCTCAAGGCGCTTTACAAATACACATTACACACATATCATACATGGAACGGTCATGTACTGTGGACAATACCCACAGGAGCAAATTCAGGTGAAGTGTCTTGAGGACACAACGGCTTTACAGACGCAGCGGAGGGTTTCGAACTGGTGTTCCCCAACGCCGCCTTGATCTGATGATCAACGCACAGCCCACTGCGCCACTCCGCCCCAGTAGACACGAAGGCGTACAATTATTTAATAAGAGTATGAGTTTATTGATATCTGTATCAGATGTATTTGTCAGAACTTCCAAAAATCAAAGTAAAGTATTCCCTAGTTATAAAAAAAAAATTTAAGTTTTAAGTTTATTTAAGCCTTTGCTAAAAATCTAAATACTTTTAGAAGTTACAAGAAAAGGTCTTGTAGGTAACATATTTTTTGAAAGACTTTTCAAGCCCTGCAGATATTCTGAATCTGAATGAATCTGTTGTGTTTGCCCTGCCTCGTACCTGTTGAGCAGGGCATTGTAAGCTCCTTTGAGGCTCTGGTGCTCCTCTGAGTCCTTCTGCAGCCGGGCGTTGTGCTGCAGCAGCTCCTCCATGTCGGCCTTGCAGCGCTCCACCTCCAGCACCTGGCCGCTCAGTTCCGACTGCAGATCCTCCCGCCGACGCTCCGCCTCCTTCAGCAGGCAGCCCAGCTTACAGGCCTGCACACAGAAACACATAGAGAACATTTAGGCTGTTAATGCTGAAACTGACCAGTGCTGTGGTGTTGCATGTCATATTCGAAGTATGTATAAATAAAGATAACTCTGAGCATTGTGATATCCGGCAAGAAACCTAGGTGGAAATCACATAAACCAGTAAAAAAGCAGCAACATTCTCACAATTAAGAGACTGGAAGAGGGTAAGTGTTTGCCTTTTTCTGCTTTATAAGTCTGGGAAATGATTTATTAATCATCCAAATAGTTGCAAAAGTATTTTCTCTCGATTAACTTTTTGATAAATCAACTTATTATTTCAGCTCTACTTACAAAAAAGTTGTAGGTTTAACTGAGGAACGTAAGGGCAAGGCTTGTTTAACGTGTGTGTGTGTGTGTGTGTGTGTGTGTGTGTGTGTGTGTGTGTGTGTGAGCTGCGCAGTTCGGGGGGAGGAGTACAAAGGCTGGGAATGAAGAACATTCCGGAGGCTCTGTGTTGGGAGACAGACGCCTCTAGCCTCATTATACCTTACTCGTGTGTTTATGCTATTAGCTCCCCTGTAACTAGTAGACTGCTTAGCAGTGTGCTAAGTAGTGTGGTGTGCCTCGTGTTGTGTTGTGTTTATAATTGTGAGCTTAGACCCAGGTGATTAGCACTTGTTGATCAGCTGTTAGATTTGTGTAACGTATTAGCTTAGACCCAGGTGATTAGCACCTGTTGACCAGCTGTAGCTGTGTGTGTGCAGCCTTCCTCATTTCCATTTGTGCCACGTGTAACGTGAGGTTTTGTTTGTAACTCTCTTTTTGGAGTCCCCTTTTTGTTGATGGTTAGACCATCCGTTTGGGTCATTTTAGGCCGTTTGCCTGTCTTTTTGTTGCCACCTGCTGTAATAAAGCCACTTATAATTTTTACCAATTCTACTCAGGTCGTGTTGTTCCCTTTGGTACCCCTAGCCCAATAGGGAATGTAACAGTGTGTGTGTGTGTGTGTGTGTGTGTGTGTGTGTGTGTGTGTGTGTGTGTGTGTGTGTGTGTGTGTGTGTGTTTTACGTCTGCTTCAGCCTGAGCTCGTTGGAAGCGATACTGAGCGATGAGACGGTCGGCCTGAGACAGAGCGAGAGCCTTGGCCTCCAACAAGTCCTGCAGACGACTCTCCTTAGACTGACACAGAGAGATAGAACTGTTGGAAAAACTGAGCCAAACAATAAATGTTAATGTAAAAATATAATTTAATATTATAAAACATACTGACCGCGAACGCTGAGAGCTTCTGTTCATAAACATCTATGATGTCCGACACATGGGAGTCCTTCGCCTGTTCCTGCAGCTACAAACAACAACAGGACGTCAGTGAATAATGCTTTTCACTCTGGAGGCAATCACTTTATTTTTATACTGAAACAGTTATAGGTTGCAACTGCTGGCTACGGTATTAATGATATGTTGTTTATAAAAAAGGAACCACTTTTTTTCTTGTATGAAAAAATGCCAAAATGTTGAAGTCAAGAAAACATGTTCAGTAAGGCCCTTTTCTAATTATTTTGTCCTACAACAACTTTTAAGAAATCAAGTTAAATTTAACACACACACACACACACACACACACACACACACACACACACACACACACACACACACACACTCACACACACA